AATTTGTCCTTTACTTTGAAGGGCATGTCCTAGCATACTCCAGCCCAGTGAACCTCTAAAAACTTCTCTGATGAGCAAGTCTCTGAATCTTCAGCATTTTTTTATCTTCTACCTTCAGAGCAAATGTGCCTAGCCAAGGCCTCCAGTATACTTGCTACATCTTTTTCATTTGGTCTGATTAGCATGATGTCATAGATGCAGCAAACCCATGAGAAGTTCTACAAAATGTCCAGATAGTCCAGGTCCTTTTGGACTCCACTATGTCAGCAGATGGGAGAATCTACACAGCCCTGAGGCAAGACTGTAAATGTAAAGTTTTATTCCTCCCAAGTGAATATGTTTCTGATCTTCTTTACTGACAGACAGGGATGGAAATGAACACATAAACACACCAGATAAATGGCTTCATACTGCATTCTTGAGGCCATGTTAAAGACATCACACCTGGCACAGCAGCTGCGATGGGGGCTACTGCTTAGTTGATAGAGTGGTAGTCCACCGCCATCCTCCAGGTTTTCATAGGGGCTAGATTGATGAATTACTGAAGACCATGACCCCTGCATCCTTTAGGTCTTCACAGGCACTCTAATCACTGTGATCCCACCCCCATTTTTTAATTTATTATCTTGCCTTGAGGGAATGTTTCAGAAGCTTCTACATGGTCTTCCCCACTACACTAGTTCTCCCTCCACAAGTCAAGCAAACAATGGATGGTTCTGCCAACTACAACATATGTCCATTCCTATTATAAATTGGAATGTACCTATTTGGGAACTATGGAAATGACCCACTGTGAATCATACCTAGGCCAGTGTTACATTTACTACCTTGCTTCTATATGAACCCCCTTCTAATGGGGGACCATGACAGCACTCTTGAGTTTCTAACAAATACAAACTCTGAGTTGGAGATTCACACATAGAAAGCTTATTGGAACTTTAGTATCAGTACCTGTGTGGGACAAAGGACGATCGGGCAGAGGAGAAGCAGAACTCCGATTCAGTCATAACAAAGGCTTCAGTAGATTCCACAGGGCTCTCTGCATCTGGGATGGTCCTTCAAACTTGTCCTGCCTTTAGGCATATGGACCAGGCTTTTATACCCATAGTGATGAATTATAAAAAGCAACTGTCTCCAGGAAGAAGCACAGCCTTGGGATGATGTTTCTCTTCAGCTGAGGATCAGTCCTGGAGAAGGACTCAGCTGAGAGCCATTGGCCATTAGCTGCCAATACTCCCTACAGCTGGGAAAATTACTGCCTGAGTTCTGACAGGGGACTATAGGCGGTTGACCACAGCATCCACTACATACGTGCAACTAAAATTCTCAGGTGTTTTCTATTGTAGTTTTATTAACCAAGTCTCACTCATCTTGACCTTTTGAAGTAGATTTTTGGAGCCAATGCTGGATCTTGTATTTGTCATCTATTTAACTAGTCGGTTTTATCCTAGCGTTCTAGTCTGCTAAGTCACTTTGAATTTTAATTATGATGTCTACTGTCTTAGACTTCCTTTGATATTTGAATTATCTTTAAATGGATGATGACATGAAAGGGAAGGCTGTCATGTTATTGATAGATTGAATCCTTAGAGTCAAAGTCATATGATATTTGTAGGACTTGCACAGGCTATATCACACACGCTGTCAGCATCCACAAATACAGTTATTATCATCTGGCCCACAAGTTACTTTCATATCAGGGACAATATGAAAAGATCCATGAAATGTTTTGTCAAATTCAAAATTTACCATTGTATCAGTTAGAATGTCTTTGCTCCAAACATCAGAAAACCCTGACTCAAATCTTCTTAAACAATGAGAAAGTTTATTATCACTTATGAAGAAGTCTGTAGGAAGTATGAGCTTCAGGCTGGTGAATTCAGTGGCTTAGCAATGTCATCATGGATTCAAGCTCTTGCCATCTCTCCCATCTCCCTAGAAGACTACTTCACTCCCGGGCTGACTCCCCACCCCACACTTCCATGGGTACACAGTAATGATGGAGCAGTTCCAGGAGTTATATCTGACACAACAATGTCCAGCAGCAGCAGAACCACTCTTCTCATGTCATTTCTTTGCCTGATACCCCCAGAAGACTTCCCACTGTGGCCTATTAACCAGGATTAAAGCACAGCAGCAATCCATCCTGGCAAGATGAATGGAACACCATGATTGGATTAGCATTAAATTAATCGTTTGCAGTGGAATACACATCAAGGTTTGTTTACTGATCTCTAGTTGATAGATTCTAATCTGGTCCCCTTTGTGAAAAAATTTTGGCCTTCAGGCACCTCTCCCATTTGCTGTAATTCCCAACAGATTATTGATAGAGGCTCTGAGAACCCCTCTACATTGCACATTATTTCAATTTCCTAGCATTTAATAAACTTAAATCCACTCAGAGAGGTTTCCTATTTTCTTACTTTCTCACCTATGTGGGACTTCAAGTCTCACTGCATCTTCCTTTCAAAATTGAAGATGGTACCTCCTTGTGTCTCTTTCCTCTGCCTTCTGCATCTGAAAGTTGGCTTTCATTTTCCCCACATCCCCTACAGAGCCAAGCTGAGTTCCATCACCTGTTTCAATAAGAGACCTACTCACACCAAGCAATTAATAAGTCTTAGTAGAATTATCCAGGATTTTCACAGTTTTGTGGCTGAAAGAAAAAAAAAAAAAAGAAAAGGAATTATCTAAGATTTGAGCAGAGTGGGGAAGATGGGTAGCAGGTCACTATCTTGCTGGTTTTGTCTCTCTCCTGTCTCTGCTCCTCACTACCTTTCTCCCAAATGTGGCCTGGGAGCTCCTAAATCTTCTCCAATCCTTGGTGCCCAAGCTCTGGGGATCTCCATCCCTTTCCCAAGTGGGCTAATACCAATGGACTCCTTCCACGCAGATACACTGTCTCTCTGAGAGAAATACCATTTTCTCCATCTTGTTACAATGACTTTTTGCACCTTGGAGAAGACAGAAGCAAAATAAACAACAGAAGAAAGTAAGAACTGATTAACTTCTGTTAACATCTCACTACCTCACTTACTCACAGAGCAGGGTGCTCCATGTTTGTGCTTCTCCTTACCCTAAGCCTTTAGCGCTTTTTGTATAGCTCAGCTCCTTCCTGACTTTAGCTTCCTTTATTCTGTTCTTGAAGGTTCATGACAGTCTTTTGTGTTCAAGCTTATCTATAATCCTCTCCCTTTGCCTTTTGTTCATGTCCTTTTAAAAGTCTGAGCTCCGCAGAGAGCTCCCTGTACAACCACCTCCTTTAGCTGTCTCCTCCTTTATGACTGGAATTATTTTCTATTATATTATAATCAGGATTTTATTGTTTAAATCTCCCACCTCTCCCAAGTCATGTTCTTTTCTAACGGTCTCACATCACAGCATCACACCTGTGGTAAATACTCTTTTGAAGTGAAGAGTTAATTTGTAATGCAAATAATTACTTCTTTATCTCATTTTCAAGTAGGAATTTTCATATATCAAATTTTCATAAAGATAAATTAGCAAATTATTTCACATCTTTTCCTTCTTTGTCATTTACTCTCCTTTCCCCTCCCACTTTCCTTCTGTCCTTTTCCCCTCTGGTTGTTTCCTGCCTCCTTCCAGGATTGATATAAACCCTCTGGGTCTCTGTCTCAGGCTCTGCATTTACTGAGCTGAAATCCTTCCTGCTCCTGGATTGGAGCGAACCATTGTCACACTAGGCAAACTCACCTACCACCTGCCTCCAGAGAACTCCATGAGTGGAGCCAAGAAAAGAAAGCACTTCTGCAGGGCATTGGCTGTGTTGTAAGCCTGACAGCTGGGCATTTCCATTTCCTAACAGTCCTGCTTTTATCAACTTCAGTTAAAGTCCAGCTTCTTTAGCTGACAAACTCTAAGGAGTAAATCTCTCTACGTCCCAGCTTTCTTAGGAGTAAAATGAGGGCAATGATCTCTGTCCTGTCAACTTTACAGAGTTGTTGGGAGAAAGTATGTAAGAAAGTATAAATTGGAAAGCATGATTCATATATAAAAGAATGTCCACTACTTATGCTTCATAACAGGTATGTCGCCTGAAAATATGAAAGACAGAATTTTTGAACATGAAGCTGAAGAGAAAAAAAATTGTCTTTAGGGAGGATTTTGAGCCAGGAACACTCAGTTTTTTTAAATCAAGAACTGCCCTATCCCCACCCACACGGGGAGAAAGGAAAGGCCGGGTAAGTGGGCGTGCTTCGTGAGATAAAAATGTAACTGTCCTCCTAACTGACTTATTTTGCTTGTTGCTTTGTTGAAAATACTACAAAGACAAAGCCATCTAGACGACTGAGATGGAGGAGAATGGAAAGAAGGGCAGGGCTTGCTCAGGATTTGCAAAGGCAGGTAAACTGGGCAAGCAGAGGTTCTGTGAGATAAGTAAAGTTGCCCTATGTAGAGTCGAAATAGAAAAGAAGAAAAACATGCTCTAACGAGAGAAAATAAATTAAATTATGCTTTAGAAAGAACAGACAGAAACTGTGAGATACCTGTTAATGAGAAAGAAAGAATTCATTAAGAAGCTAGAAAAAAGAGTAAATCCTTTCAATCCAGAAGAAAACAAAAGCTTGCCTGCTAATTCCATGGCACCATCTCTCCCCTCACACCCACCACATGCAAACCTTTCTCAGGTTTCACCTTGAGGATGTGTAGGAGAAATTTCAACATTCTTGAATTATTCATTTCATAATGTCAATTGATGAGCAACATCACGGGGGTAGAAATCACAATATGAGTTTTATTTCCTGTTAGGAAAAAAAATAGGAAGAACAAATAAGTAGTTGTTTTTGTTGGGCTCCCCTGGTGATTACACACATATGACCTCATACTAACTCACAAAGAGAAGATAGAGAACCAAGAGAGGAGAACTGGAGCACCCGACTGGCAGAAACACTAAATTCTGCAACCTAGATGTGGTTCATGAGACTAAAAATGTCATCTAATTAGATAATTTATTTCACTTTTGAAATTTTTTTTTTTACAAAGTAGTAAGGATTTTTATTGTCAACATGAGAGATCATAACAGAAGATACAAATAAATTAATTGTTCTGATAATTTTAGAGTCTAGGGCATCTCTATGGAAGGGTCAGCTCTTTATGTACTGATAGATATAATACTATCCAAAACATGGCCAGATGCGGTAGCTCATGCCTGTAATCCCAGCACTCTGGGAGGCTGAGGCAGGAGGGTCGCTTGAGGTCAGGAATTCAAGACCAATCTGAGCAAAAGTGAGACCCTGCCTCTACTAAAAATAGAAAAATTAGCTGGGCATGGTGGCGCATGCCTGTAGTCCCAACTACCCGGGAGGCTGAGGCAGGAGGATTGCTTGAGCCCAGGAGTTTGAGGTTGCTGTGAGCTAGGCTGATGCCACGGCACTCTAGCCCGGGCAACAGAGTGAGACTCTGTCTCAAAAATAAATAAATAAAATAAAATACTATCCAAAACAAAAAGCAAGCACTTGAGACACTGTTCAAGACAACGACTGAGCATGTGCACAGTGAGAAGGAATAAAAAGGCAGTTTCCCTATTTTCTTTCCTCAGTAAGGTATGTGTTGCATGAAGGTCTGAGGCTCATTTTGATGACAAATGCTTTCATACAGAAAAGTTTGAACTGTCCCATCTCCTCCCCCTAAAAAGTTTCAGGCCCTGACCTGGTGATGAACAAGGAAATCAAAATAAGGTGACACTACTTTCACATGAACTCAAGACTATAATCTAACTGTAGTTACCATCTTTACTTAAAAAGTTTAACATCCATTTATCTATACAAAATCAGTAGACCGAATTTTTTCCCTTAGGAAGTTTTCAACCAAATTGGAGTTAAATTAATCTCACATTAAAGTGTAAGAAAGGACATGCAAGAGTAGTGTTTGTTCTGTGGCATAAAAAAGCAGTATCTCTCCAACAGCACTGGCCCAAGAGGTATCACATGAAGAACTGGCCGTAGGACAAAGTGATCCATTAAGTCTACCAAAATGCAAAAAAACATTCCAGTTTAAGCCTGGAAAAGGTGGTCCCTGCCAGACCTGGCTTTTAACTGTACCCAGGTCTCAAACAGATCCTAGGTTCACCTACGTGACAAGGCTGGCACACAGCACCAGCATAATCAAGAGGCCCAAAGTTGTCTCAACTAGTCACTGAGCACCTCTATGCCATGATTTGTCAGCGCTCACATTGACATTGGTAAAAGAATCAAGAAGGCTGAGTTTTTGGAACAGAACAAACATTTATTATCTAGTAAGGAATGATTAAGTTTGTGCCTTGGGTAAATGATGCAAGAATAGATAACAAGGTCCCACATATACCACTGCTGAGATTTAATCTAACTTTAAAGCAATAAAAAATGTCTTCTTCCACACAGCAAGGACAAACTTTGCCTTCATGTTTCTCAAAAACTAATTATGTCTCCAGCTCTAGCTTCAGTTTAAGAGGTTTTCTAAAAATATACCTTTCCTATGTTGGAACAAAGGTAAAAGGGAAGTCTGGCACAAGAAACCCTCTGTCTAGAGTCCCTGGAATAGAAAGAGCTCTAGAAGCCAATGGTGTGATCATATTCTAGTCACAGGGTTTGAGATTATGGGTCTGTGGGGGTTGTTTCTTCCCTTCTTTCATTGGGATGTCCATGTTGGGTGGCTTGAAGGTTGCTGGATCTTCAGCCATTCTGGTGGCCTGGGCTGCAATCAGTTCTATTGGAGAGGGTTTCTGGACTCCTCCGTAGGCCTGGGTGGCAAAACTTCCTGAATCATACTTCTGGAGGGATCTTGGTCCAAAGAGGCTCAATTTATCTGATGGATTTCTGTCCTTATCTGCACTTCCAGAATCCATGGTACAAGGATTTGGGCCAGGCAAGGCGGTGGAAGAACCAGAAGTGAACCAGCCTCTGGGCCTCTGTTGAGGGGCAGAATGAGAAGTGCTGCTTGGGGTGGACTGGGCTGACACATGCTGCTTCTCTTCTTTTGCTCTCTCTCCACTCTGTAGCATAGACCAAGTGGCTTAAACAACACACATTTATTTCTCACAGTTCTGCATACTAGGAAGTCCAAAATCAAAGAGCCTGAAGATTTAGAGGCTAGTGAGGGCACACTTCCAAGTTTGCAGACAGTTGCCTTCTTGCTGTATCTTTACATGGCAGAGATCAGAGAGTAAGCACTCTGATCTCTTCTTATAAGGGCACTAATCCCATTAACAGGGCCCCACCATCATGACCTCATCTAAACCTAATTATATCCCAAAGGCCTTACCTCCTAATGTCATCACATTGGGGTTAGGATTTAAACATATAAATTGTGGGAAGAAACAAATATTCAGCTCATAGCACCCTCTAATGAAGTAGAGTGGATCTGAGAAATGGTTATTAATTGCTGCTAAAACCATTAGCTGATGATATTCTTGAAATAGATGAACCCGGCTATAATACCTGAAGCACTGATCAATCTTAGCACAATAAGGTGGGACTGCAAATTATTAAGTAATTAAATGTGAAATATCTGATTTTGAATCAAAAGTTTACTTTATTATATCTTAAATAAAAAGCAGTACAATTAATCAAAGTATGCACCTAAACTATGGACACAGTTTTGCCATCTTAAGGGTAGCTTGTTTACACCAGCAGCAAAGAAGCCTGGAGAGCAAGTGACGATGAAATTGCAAAAGGCGTTTTCCACAGTTTGTTGAGAATTGAATATTTTTCCTGGCAAGAAGTGGGCCAAAGCCTGGAAGAAGTAGTAGTCAGTTGGTGCAAGGTCTGGTGAATGTGGAGGATGACAGAGAGTTTCCAAGTTCAGCTTCTGTAGTTTGAGCACCATTGTTTGTGTGACATGTGGTCGAGCATTGTTGAGGATTGGCCTGTCTCTATTGACCAATCTCACCTGCTTCATTGCAAGCATCCTCATCATTTCGTACAACAGGTTGCAGCAGACATCCACTGTAATGGAACGACCACGTTTCATGAAGCTATAGTGGATAATACCAGTGCTGGACCACCAAACACACACCATTAGCTTTTTGGATGAATATTCAGTTTTGGACTGTGTTTTGGCACTTTATCTTTATCCAACCATTGTGCCGAACACCTGCAATTGTCAAAAATAATCCATTTTTCATCACACGTAACAATACGGTATAGATATGGTTTGCCTTTACGTTGTGACAGCAAAGAAAGACAAGCTTCAAAACAGTTTCTCTTCTGACACTTGTTTAATTCATGGGGAACCCATCTATCCAGCTTCTTTACCTTGCCAATTTATTTCAAATGGTCCAATATTGTTGGAATAGTAACATCAAACCTTGCTGCTAATTCACGTGTAGGTTGAGATGGATTTGCTTCCACTACAGCTTTTACCTCATCATTATGTCAGGTTCAATGTCAGGTTTGAGTTCCCTGGTTCTTGGTTCCCAGTACCAAAGAATGATTTACTGAGCCAAGGGAATAAGTGAGCAAGCCAAGCAGATGCAAGTAGGCAAAACATCAAGACTTATTGAAGCGCAGTAAGTTTCAAAGAGGGAACAGGTTTATCTCTATGACTGTAGAAGACCCTGAGATTGAATAGGCTGAATATTCATAGCTTTTTTTTGGAAAGGGGTGGAGAGTTCCTGGAATGGCAAGTCCTCCCCTTTTCTAACCTTGTAAGGCAATTTCCAGGAGTTGCCATGGCATTTGTAAACTGTCATGGCACAGGTGGGTGTGATTGTTACTATGCTAATGAGGGTAGGTCACTTGAGGACACTGTCATCTTGCTTGTACACGTGCTCCAAAGACCCCCTTTTGTAGCCTTGATCATATCTCTACTTTATGGTTTCTCTGCCTCTTTCTGGTTGGTCAGTCTTTGGAAGCCCCCTGTCATAGACCAAATATCTCAGAGACCCCCTTGACAAGGCATCTGTTCCTTCTTGGAAGCCCCCTCTGGTCAATTTGTTCTTCCCTATTGTAAACAAAGCATCTCCTAGTGCCATCTGTTCCTCTTCCTCCCTCCTTATCCCTACCTAACAATTATCCACCTTGATCTCAGGTCACCCACATGGCTCATTTCCAAGATTAAAATCACTACCAGAACTTCTCAAATTATTGATATACTGTGTGTTCATTAGCCACGTCCTTCACAAACTCTTCGTTGATATTTTGAGCTGTCTGCACTACGTTGGTTCCACGATGGAACTCATATTCAAAAATAACACGAATTTTTGACTTATCCATGGTTTCACAAAAATTGCTCTAAAAAAATTTTGAAAGATAATCACAAGTCAAACATGCATTTGAATGACTGAGGATGTACCTTCACAATAAATATAAAACAAGAAGTGTCAAAGTGAAATGTCAGAGATATCAACTGTCAGACTTAGCATTTAAGGAAATCAGACATTTCATACTTAATAACCTAATACCACACCCTCTATGGAAAACAGTATGGAGATTCCTCAAATAAATAAATGTAGACTTACCATTTCATCCAGCAATCCAACTACTGGATATCTACGCAAAGGAAAAGGAGTGATTTTATAAAAAAGACAACTGCACTCAAATGTTTATTGCAGCACAATTCACAATTGTAAAGATGAGGAATCAACCCAAATGCCCATCACTTCATGAGTGGATAAAGAAAATGTGGCATGGAATACTATTCAACCATAAAAAGGAATGAAATAATGTTTTTTGCAGCAACTTAGGCAGAACTAGACACCATTATCCTAAGTTAAGTGTTTCAGAATGGAAGAACAAACACCACATATTCTCACTGATAAGTAGGGCCTAAACAGTGGGTACTCATGGGCACAAAGAGATGTAAAGGATCTGGAAACCAAGAAGGGGGGAGGATGGAAGGGAGTGAGGGATAAAAACTTACCTATTAGGTACAATGAACACTATTCTGGTGATGAACACACTAAAAGCCCTGACTCAAGCATTATATAAGGTGTCCATGTAACAAAAACATTTGTATCCCCTTAATATTTTAAAATAGATAATAAATAAATAAATAAATAAAATCTTTGCACAAGAAGAGGGCTAACCATTGTCTGCCTCCAGATGGAAAAACACACCACCACCTATGAAATCACCTTGCCAAAAAATCAAGCCTGAACCTGATCCATCCTTTAGATCAACACTATCCAATGAAATATAGTGCAAACCGCATATTTAATTTTAAATTTTCTACCAGCCACATTAAAAAAGTAAAAATAAATAGGTGAAAATAATTTTAATATTTTATTTAGCTCGATATACCAAAAACCATTGAAATGATCACTGAAACATATAATCATTAATTATAATCAATAATTAATGTTTTACATCTTTTTTTGTACGTTTTAGAAATCTGTTGTACATTTTACATTTAGAGCATATCACAATGAGACTAGCCACATTTCAAGTGCTCAGTAGCCACATGGATGCAGCTTCAAACAAACCAATGGGAAAAAAGTAATGAGATAATGGAGGCAATGTGAGTACTGTCTAGGTATTCGGTTATACTGAGGACTTATTAGGTGTAATAATAGTGCTGTGTTTAAATACTTTAAGGGAGTCCTTATCTTTTAGATACATATTGAAAGATTTAAGAATGAAATTATAAAATACCTGGGATTTGCTTCAAAATAATCCAGTGGTGTCAGTAAGG